GTTGTAAAGAAATATTTTGGCTAGCGATTCAAATTGGTTGGCTTAATCTGGTATAAAAACTTCCTCCTTCTCCCCCTCTTCACATACCCAAGTTTTATAATGTAGACTCAGAGTGGTGTCAAAGTTATTCAAGAGTAATACCGAGGCCAATGAGTTTATTGCTAGACTTGTCTGTACTTCTGATCTGCCTTTATAGTTTGGTGGTGGTGTTCAATTCATGCAATTTCTTCCATATTCATGAAAACTCATTATTTGAAAATGCTAAATGAAGAGGGAATTAGGCATGCATCTGAGTATTTTGCTTAACTATGAGAACTTAGTTGACAAAGAAACTCACTAGCACGGTACTTGTATAGCTATTAGCTCTTCATAATTTCCCATAATTTTTCTTTCCATATGCTTGTATCCACATTTTCATTTCTTCAAACTATAAAATTTGTTGGGATTTGACAAAATTTCTTTAACAGGTTCTGACAGAGTTCCAATACCTATGGGAGTTTGTTTTTAAGAGATGACCGATGGCAACATGATTTTTGGAATCCTTGCTAATAATAGGGCTTTGTTTTCCTACATACTGGAGCCAGACATGGGAATCTTCAGTGTTGTCGTTTATAGTTTCCAGAAAGATAAGAGTTTGATCAGTATTTCTTAAATACACTTTCATCTAAATTACTATGAGACCATTTTGGCTGGGGTAGATGTAAAGGGTTAGAAAACGGGGAAGAGGAGATAAGCTTGTATGTTAAATATAAATTCCTATATGTTAGGTTTTAGCAGTATTCTGGTTAAATAGAATTTGATTGGTCTTTCTAATGGTATTTTTGGCTGAAGAAACACTAAAGTGGCTGTGCTTTTACTTAAATAATTGATCGAAATATTAATATACTGCTGATTTTAAAATTTAAAGTTCAGACAAGCTGATCATGTAGAAGCAATACCAAGGCTTTCTTATCCAGGAGAATGGAAGCAGTCTGCTTTGAGGTGTTTGAGAGAACTAGCAGCTCCTATACTATTGGCTGCTGTGATTTACAGATTTTTACATTTTGCCTAGGAATACATGAAGCTAGATTTACTGACACAATGGTTTCTTATGCCTGGTTTTGCATTGCCTTAGGTATGGTATGGTTGCTGCCATCTTTAATTATCTATCATCTTCCAATGGTTATTTGATTCTGATGTCTTTGTTCCTGTTATATCGTTATTTTTTATAAATCTTGAATTATGTGTTAATTTTTAAAAATCTCCTGGTTTACAACTCCATTTTCCTTCTGCTCTTTAATCAGCAGAAGCTTACCATTGAAAGGCAGGCACTCACTGACAATTTCATGATACCTTCTCTAAATTGCCTACTTTTCTCAAGAAGTCCTTTCTAGCACTTTTTATCATGCTACTTCAGGCACTTTTACGTAAATAGAAGGTAAAACCTTGAACTGCATTAAAAGTATTGGTTTAGCCTTTTGTTTAAGAGTTTTAGCTCAGTCTCATCTAATCAGAGCAATGCATAATCAGCGATGCCTTAGGAACCTTAATAAAGTACATCAGACAGAGAATAAAAGGAGGATCTTTTTGCAGCATTCTGGCTTTCCTGCATCCAAGTGTCTCCTAATGGAGTTGAGATAAAAAGGAAGTTTCAGTTGGGTTTTAATTAATATTAGGTTCAGACTATGTTATGTAGTGTGCATTTTGAGTACCAGTTGATAATGATAAAATCTTACAAGGTCTTTTTAACCATTTCTGAACAAAAGAACAGGACTTATCTTCCACCATTATTTTAGGAAAAAAAAGATATAAACTATGTCCTCTTGGGATTTTTTTGATGTTTAAATTAGTGGTAAAATTGTGTGCTTTAGTTACTTCTGAGGCAAACACAAGATGCTAATGACATATGAAAGAAACATATGAAAGGAGAAATGAGTGGCTAGCTTTGTTTTAAGACTCATTTTGGTCTAAAAGCAGACAATATTAAAGCAAATTTAATGTGAAGAAAAAGCTCTATTTACCTGTCAATTTTGTGTGGGTGTGTTAATCACCTTGACGACTGAGCCTTATCATGAAATCCCAAGTGTAGGCATCTGGTTATTCAGAATTATAATGAATTTATATGTGCAAAGCGGTTGTTCAGAACTGCTACCAATTGGAAGGGTACAGAGGTCAAGGGTTATAATGAAAGTGTAATTTCATAAATACATCTCTGAGGGATTATTAGGGTAGACCTTGATGGTTGCAGAAATGATGGCAGAAGTAATTTGTCGTGGATAAATGCATAAGCATCAAGAGTTCCATTCTGTGCAGGTCAGGTTAAAAGAAACTATCCCTGATGGTATGTTTTTTCTTTTTAAGTATTTTATAAACCTCCCTGGGCTTTTTATTAAAAAAATTAAAAAGTCAAGCGGCATCATTCCAAAAATGATGTAATGGACAAAAATCTGGTTTCCTTAGGCTATAAGGACTTCATGAAACATTCAGAATATCTCTTGGTTAGCTGTTCAGTCAAATTTGAAACCCTCCAGATGACCCCTGGTAGTAAACCAATCAGTATAAGGTATCATGTGCATGAAGTGGAGTATCCTTGAATCAGCACCCCAAAAGTATATCCCTGAATCAGGAACCCCAAAAGAAAAAATGCATACATAGAGCAACATAAATTCAAGAACTGAGCCTTGTGGGAGTCTCCAAACATTTGAATCTGATTGGAAGAAAACCCACACAAAATAATGAAGTGGGAGTAATTTTCTGATCTTCTCCAGAATCCTAAAGTCTGCTTCATTTTACCATCAGGGATAGAGAAGAAAAGCTTTTAAGTCAGCCAGCATCAGATTGATTCATAAAGCAAACAGGAAAAGTATTATGAGGCAAGGCTTCATGCTATGATAGACATCTAGGAATACTCATCTTTGGCAGACTATTCATCTTTGGCTAAGGGGGTGGAAACTCTGGTTTGTCTCCCTGGGTAATGTGTGGAATCCTGTTTATATTCCAGCTTAGTTTATGTGGCCTTGGGGAGCAAAGTCTGGTCTTAGAATTAGCTGTAATTTTTGCTGATCAGATAGTGGTATGAGTGGCCAACTATTTTTCCATGACTTTTGAAGATCCAACGAATCTACGACATATTATTATTTTTTAAAACTTTTGTGTAGTGAAGGTACTTGTTTCATCTGAAACAAACAGCTGGTGGTGATTGAGAGATTGCCTGTATAGGTGATTTGCAATGGCTTCTTTCTTTTTATAATGTGGAGACTTAGTTGTGCACAGTCCATAGTAGATTATATAGTTAATAGTCTATCAATTGATTGTTAAGTTGTACATTGTTTGACTCAAGAGAAGGGGATTTGAAAGATAGGAATAAAGATAATTAAGACCCAGAGTGTTACGTGTGTTATGGTTTGGGTTGGTTTTTTTGTTTTTTGGGGGGTTTTTTGTTTGTTTGTTTTTTGTTTTTTTTTTTGATGACTCCTTCACCCTGGAGAAGCATAATTTGGAAGTCACAGTTGTTTGGGATCTGGAGTCAGCTAATGTCTTTGTGATGAATGAACTGAGCTTCTCAGCCTACTAGGCATAAATGTATTTTTTGTGGTTATAAAGTTAGTTCAAGTGTGTATGTGGAGCACTGGGGTAGAAAGAGCAGGGAGAGCAAGAAATCTGCCATGGTAGTCCTGTCCTTTAGAGGGGAAGGTCTCTGAAGGACTAGAAACAGGACCGTATCTGTCCTGTTTCAGTTTAGTTTTATAATAAACTGCTCAGATGGTTTGTGGGAGGGGTATAAGCATCACAGTATTCTTAGAATCATAGAACAGTTTGGTTTGGAAGGGACCTTCAAAGGTCATCTGGTCCAATGCCCATGCAGTGAGCAGGGACATCTTCAACTAGATCAGGTTGCTCAGAACCACATCCAGCCTGGCCTTGAGTGTCTCCAGGGATGAAGCATCCACCACCTCTCAGGGCCACCTGTGCCAGTACAGGGGAATGCGGGCAGGGAGGGGGCGCCGGGCAGTGTGCAGGCTGTGTGCGCCCTATGCATGGGATCTCTGGTGGCGAGAATGGGAGTGCCTGGGTGAATGTGGCTTTCTAAGTTCTGGAGTCCGAGGTTAAATCCCACTTTCCCTGCAGTCAGCTGGCCAACGGGGCCCCTCTCAGCTCTTTTCTTCCTCCGTCCCCTCAGCTGCACACAGGCTGGGATAACACAGCCAGCTTAGGCTTTTTGCCTTCTTAAATGATGATGTTTCATTACAGCTTTATATTGTTCTTAAATGATGATGTTTCATTACAGTGTTTCATTGTTCTGTGTAGACATGTGAGTGTTTTACTGAGATATCTCATACCAAGGTACAGCTCCTGTGTTTTATAAAAGAGTGAGTGCTGCTGTCTTCATACTCCTTGGGTTTTTGGTTTTTTTTTTCCTTATAAAGACCAGTAGACATTAATTTTGTTAGGTCTTAACTAATGGAATCTATTTTTATTTTACCTGCAGATTAAGATGCATGAAAAATAGTATGAAAATGTGAAAACTGAAATGTAATTGCTACTGTAGAGGGTGCTGCATCAACCCACTATAATTATTATCTTTAAAATGTCAAATTTAAATATAATGTCTTTAAATTTCTTATTTTGGATATTACAGGAAAAACTGAGAAGAAACTACAGTAATAGATTTCAAATGGCTTATTAGAGAATTAGTAACACTACTGAATTAAGTTTTGATGTTTAGGCAGAAACAGCAGCATTGTATTTGGACTAATAAATTACTTGCTGGCTTTGTCACCGTTGACATTAATTATTGATAGGGACTTCAGAAATAGCGCATGTGCCATTAGAGTTGACTGTAATATAAGACAGGGACTGCAGCGGTGCTGGAGGGCTTACGGAGAGGGGAGCACCTGTAGCTTTTGGAGTTACATGCTTCTAATAATCAGACTTTTATTTTTCTGAAATTAATTCATATGAGTGATGAAAATAATGGAAAGATGAGTCGTCAGGCTTATTTCTATCGTGTCCCTCCACAGGAATTACACAGAAGAACCCAGCTTCAGCCTGAGCCAGCAAAGACGAAGGCTCTGCAAACAGTTATTGAAATGAAGGTATGGTCTTTGCATGTTTTCCCATGCGTTATTTTTGTACTATGAACTCGTGTACTGCGTATGGTTGGGATGGAGTTAATTTGCCTCAAAGCAGCCTGTGTGGTGTTATGTTTTGAATTTGGGGCCAAAACAGTATTGATAACACACTGATGTTTTAGCTGTTGCTGAACAGCGCTTGCACAGAGTCAAAGCTTTCTCAGTTCCTAACTCTGCTCCCCCCAGGCTTTCAGCAAGTAGGTTGGGGGTGCACAAGAGGCTGGGAGTGAATGCATCTGGGACAGCTGAGTTGACCAAAGGGTTGTTCTATACTGCAGGATGTCATGCTCAGTAATAAAACTTGAGGGAAGGACATTTAGAGTTATGGCATTTGTCATCCCATGAATTCCATATTTTGCTTGGCTTGTGTTGCACAGCTTTGTTTTACATATTAAATTTACTTTATCTCGATCCATGAGTTTTCTCACTTTCACTTTTCCAGTTCTCTTCACCATCTCACTGAGGGGGAGTTAATGAGTGGCCGTGTGACATTTAGCTGCATACCAGGGTTAACACACAACTCCTCCATTTATAACTTTTACTATTAAATCATTAAATGCTTCCTTTTACTTCTCAATTTATTTTGCTGTGAATTTAGACATAATTAGTATTTCTCTCAGTCGTCTTAATAAGACTTTATTACAAAAATCAAGTTCAGCATTATGAAATAATAAGAACTGCATATTGCTTTTTAAAATTACTCAGGGCTGAGGAGAGGCAGTTCCGGGTGAGCCAAAGTAGATTGAATAAACTGACAAATGGAACAAAACGCAAATCGTCCAAAGTTGATGTAAAAGTCTTTTCTTCTTGAATTTTTTAAAACCAATACTTCTGTTGGTGTTATTTGGCCATCATTTTCCATCTAGCCTAAGGAAAATATTAATTGCATCCTCAGAGTGGTATGACAAAATGTGATGAAATCCCTTTCTTAGTCCTAAATTTAGTTTACTCTTTTTGATATATAACATTACTAAAGTGTTGTGACTTTTTCCCCCAATATCAAAAAGATAAAAATAACAATTTAAAAAAGTGAAAACTGATATTTTCACATAATTCCATAAATCTGGAATACACATCTTTAAGAAAAATACCATGAGACCTGATGTAATTTGTGAGCTGGCAGTGCTGCCTGAAACACATTAATGATGGTCTTTCAGTCTTAAAAGGAAGTGCAAATTAAAGGCCTCATTTTGCCAGTGACTTCTGTTATGAGCAAATGAGTTCAGCATGTCTGAACATTGTGGTAAATACACAGTTACAACAACAGCAGGACTTCATAAATATAGCCTTTTAATAGATAACAATGAGTTTGCATTATATGAGTAACAAAGAAGGTACGTCAGTTTCTAGTCTGTCTTCTGATGTGTATTTGCCTTGGACCTTCCCTGGTTATTCTAATTCAGAAGTCTATGTATGAAATCTAAAATGTGGGTATTTGCAGTAACTTGTTACCTGAAATATATGGGAAAGAAACTTGTTTCTTTCTATTAATATTCAGTATCATAAATTGAAAAATTTTGGGATACAGAAATAGTGTGTTAGAATAATTTATGGTCTCCTATGTGGGTTATTAACAATATAAGGGTTATGTTGCAAAATAATTTGCAATTCCTTTTCCTGTACCAAAACTCTTAGAAAAAAACAGGGACGGGCTGGGACAGAGGTAAACCACAAATGACACACGTGATAACTGTAGTTGCAGCCAGTCTGACAGTGTCTGTCCCTGAAGACAGAGAAGTCTTTTCTGTGTCTCCCGGGAGAGTACGGTGTGGTGTGTTTGATGTTCCCCTTCTTAAAAATCTGATCTGTTTAGTGAGGCCTTTCATTTGTCATGGATGAGACTGCAATCATGTTGCTGGAGCATTCTGATGCAGGGCTGCCTTTTGGCTCTGAGACACACAGTTGTTTCTCTTCCTGTGAACACACAATCCTTTGGGGTTGCCCTGTCTAAAACATGCCTAATATTGAAAAGAAAAAGGGACAAATGTAAGATGTTGAAATCCACATGATTAAACAGCAGTTTTCATTACAAGTTCCAGCTTTGGTATGTTTTCAAGTAAATTTAAATTGTCTTAATCCAGACAGCATTTGTTTTGAAAAAAATGTGGAACATTTGTTTTGAATGATCAAGCATTGAAGCAATTATTTCTCTACAGTGTTGAGGGTAGAAGGAGGGAGAGGATTACCCTGTAATATGGCAATCTGGGGCCAAACACTCCCCCGTGCAGAGGCTCCAAGCAGTATACATTTCTCTATACCGCACCCAACCCCTTCCACCCCCTCACCACTTAGCTTTTGTCTGAGTCCCCTCCGTGGCTCCCCCAGGCTCTGCCAGGAGGCAGCTTTCCCTCTTTCATAAATCCCTGTATTCTTTCCTGTGGTTTTCTTCTGTCCCTTGCCACTGCTGAATGCTTTCTGTCCCTTTTCCCAGTCAGTGCTCCCTCTCGTTCAGTGAAGTATACCTATCATTTCATATGTGATTGTTTTGGTCCTAAACAGCTTTTCTTTGCACTACCTTTCCTGTCATGCTTCTCGTTTCTCTCTGAAAACTTTGCAAATAGTTGCCTTTTCTTATAGTAACTGTGTCTCCTTGACCAATGTCTATCTTCTCTATACTTATTAAAAAAAAACAGGGGGGAGGGAGGCAAATAAAACAGATACAAAATTCACATCCTATGGCTTAACTCCTGTTTCTGTTGATTTATTTCTTCATTTTCAGATATAATCTTTTCAGATTCATTGCACAGGCCTTTCTTCCCTAACTTTCTGGTTTTGCTTTAGACACATTTGCTTCCAGCTGTCATGTCTTTTGTTTATTCTTTCTCCTTACATTCTTTATTCTGTATTCCCTTGTCTGTAACAGACGTTCTACAGAAGCCTGCCTTTCTTCTGGAAAGCAGTGTCACAGGACTGAAGGAAGGCAGGATGCTTCCTTTTTTCCTCTTTTTTCCTCTGTTTTTGCCTCTGTTATTCCATCAAGCTCCTGTTTCTCTGAAACTTGAATACTTCTTTGCATCTTGTGTGCTGACAAATGCCAGATCACTGGTATGTCTGAATATGAGTGATAACCGAAGTTTGATTAACACTGATTAATATCATAAAAAAGAGTAAAAGGAAGCACATTTCTCATTTCATTCTTGCAGTAAGAAGTACACCTGAGCACATAAGTCAGAACTTACTCATCTTTTATGAGTTCCTACTCTGAGAACTGCATTCTGTTCTGGAGTCCCTAGTACAAGACAGGAACAGATCTGTTAGAGCGAGTCCAGAGGAGGGCCACAAAGATGATCAGAAGTCTGCAACACTTTCCTGTGATGAAAGGCTGAGAGAGTTGGGCTTGTTCAGCCTGGAGAAGTCTCCTTGGAGACCTTCGTATGGCCTTTCAGTGCTTAAAGAAGGCTTATAAGAAAGACAGGGACAGGCTTTTTAGTAGGGCCTGTTGTGACAGGACAAGGGGCAGTGGTTCAGTTCTAATCTGAAAGTAGATTTAGATTGGACATATGGAAGAAATTCTTCCCTATGAGGGTGCTGAGGCATTGGCAGAAGTTGCCCAGAGAAGCTGTGGCTGCCCCTTCCTTGGCAGTGTTCAAGGCAAGGATGGATGGGACTTGGAGCAACCTGATCTAGTGGAAGATGTCCATGCCCATGGCAGGGAGTTGGAACTAGATGAGCCTTAAAGGTTTCATCCAACGCAAACCATCCTATGATTCTGTGATCTTCTTCAGACAGTTCCAGGCTTAAACAAGTGATATTATTTGGGAGACAAAATCAGAAATAAGTTGCCCATAGATATGGCATAAAGTTAATCCTAAGTGTAGGGTATTGACCATCCTGAAGTACAAGTAGTCTAGCAACAAGAATTTAAAAGCCTTTAAAAGTGGTAAGCTGTTAAGTAAATGAAAATATTTGTGGTTTACCTTGCTTGCAGAAAGACACATCTTTATGTATTGATCCAGCTTTCATATTTCAGGTATGGGTTTGGTTCTAGAAAAGTGTGTCTGTGTGTTTGCAGTGCAACATATTCTTACGGTTAAGACTGCATGAACTTTCATTTTCCTTTGTCTTCAAAAATAAACTTGAATATTCTCTGTATTAAATTGGCAAAGTTAAAATAAGTATATAGTAAGAGTAGTCGTGTATGGTCTGTTGATAGCATGTGTGCATATATGGATTTAAATGCGAGTTTTATTAAATGTGAAATTTCAAATATTTACTTCTGATTGCTTGTTGAATACCCTACAAGCAAGATTTTTTGCAGACATAGTTGAAATTTCTCAGGTATTTAAAATGAAGAAGAGTAGCATTTAATTACCTTTTGTTTCAGAGGAAGACAGGCTGGAATGCTGTAGTATTTACAAATTTTTTGCCCAATTTTCAACCCTTAAGTGTTCAGGAAATATACTATAGCACTCTTGTGGTAAGGAGTGGGTATATAGGGATCATGAAACATTATTGTAGAAACTAATTTGTAAAGTTAGTCTCCTTTCTATTCTGGAATATTATTTTCTTCAGCATCAGGATGCATACTAATTGTTTCATGTTCTAAAGAGATGGATTTCTGCTAGGTCCAGCCTAGAAATAGCCCTAACCTCTCTCTCAGAATATGTGTAACACTATTCTAATAGAGGGGATGAGGAAGAAGTATTGTTTACTGCTGGAAGGAGGGAATAGATTAGGGTGAGTACCCTGATCTGTATCACAAATCCTGCTATATAATCTTAATGCCTTTTAACTGGTTTAGAGGGCCTGACTGGAAAAATCTGTCCAAATGTTGCATTGTTGTAGAACTGAAAGACATTTATTAGTACCATTTAATACTAAGCTGTTTCCTTAATATTACTGTAAAGGAATCCTCTTTGTGATTCAACACAGACCCATGCAGGTTTTTTTGAATATTGCTAATGTGGATAAGACTTAGAGGTCTGAAGGAAATGCTGCATCTGTTCCTATTTCAGTTTCTGAAAGATTGCCAGACCCTGTGCCACAACAAGAGCTGGTTGAATGTTTTCCAATTGAAGTTTTCTGTGGGAAAATGCTGATTCAGCCGAATCAGAAGATTTTATGGGAATGTGCCTATTCTGTCAAAACTTCTAGTTAAAGCAAAATCTTAACTTTCTACCGACCCTGTTAGTCAGCGCAGCTCCCTTGTGGCAGTATGCATTGGGAGCTCTAGGCTTTCTCTGTTATCTTTGACCTACAAGGTTCTTCACTTACTAGCAGTTGTCCAGGCAGGAAAATTTTCACGTTTCCTAGGCAAACCAGCAGCCTATCTAGTGTATTTGCAGAATTGCTGGTCCTGTAGTGTTCATACACAAAGGAACAGTACTTCTGACTCCTTGAACAGCCTGTGAATGAAGGTGATGTCTGGCTTTTCTTATGTCTTGTCATCAACTAATTTTTTTTAGAAATTATTCTGAAACAGATTTTAGTCTTCAAAATTTGTGAAATTTTTGGATTCTGTTCCAATAAAATTTAATACAAAACTGACAGTGACGTTTTTTCTAGAGACAGAAAAACTAGTTTTTGCATAGCTGTAATTACAGTATGCAGAGATTGATTAGAAATAAAGTTTTCTTTGGGGAGTTAAAACTTGTGACGAAGTGGAAGTACAGAAAATTTCTCCACAGGTTGTTAGATATTTCTCATACAGCTTAAATGTTATTCTGTGATGTACAAACCTTCTGAAGAGTGTAACAGGCTGTGCTGTGAATTATTTCTGCCATGTTATATTTGCAAACATGTAAAATACCAATTCAGTACAAAAAGCTGGACTCATAGAGACTTAGCTGGAGAGATTTGATGAGGACTACTCCCAGATGGGATGCCATAACAGGTCATGTAAGTATTAATATATTTCAGTGAAAATCATTCTACAGTACAGTGAAGCTTAGGTTTTGCTTTTATCTTCAATAATAGGAGTAGAAAATTTCTAAAATGAAGTCTGATGGAGGAAGCTGATTTGATTATAATATATGTGAGAGCTACAAAAATTTATTGTTGTATGTAAGCTTTAATAGCTTTTAAAATTATATTTTTCTCTTTCAGTATTTTTCTTTTTGAGTAATTTCTCCAAATGATAAGATTTAATAAGAAATCTTCTCCTTTCTCTTTTTCATTCCATATCAACCTTTTCGTTTACTTTCCTCTTTGGGGGGGAGGGGAAGTTTATGGAAAAAAGTTTTGTGAATGGAACAGTTAACATCTTAAAAATGTTTATTTTCTGTCATGTGAAGGGCTGGTCATTTAATAGAAAGATGACTTTTTTTCATGATCATTCATACAGCCTTTAATCTAGGATGTAAGTAATGCTGATTCCATGAACAAATATTCATAAAATTCTGTTATTGGAAATGTCATGTTAACAATCTTAGACTAACCTACTAAGTAATTTAAGTTGCATTTTACCTATAACATGAGAAGTGTTATTCAAAAAACAATTCCATAATTACATTAAAAGATAAAGGCATATACCATTGAAGTTGGCTGGAAGACTTCCAGGATGGGGGGGGGTGGGGGTTGGTTTTTTGATGTTGCCTCCCTAGTCAACTCCTTTGTGGTTTTTACTTCAAGAAAGGAAAATGTGGACTGCTGATTATCATCAGCATTTTCATTATCAGATATTTTCCAGAAAAGAAACAGCCAGTGAGGAAAAAGCTAAGAAACAGCAGGTTTCATATTCACATTATTATTTTTTTTGTTTCCTTTGCCTTCTGGCACTTTGTTCTCTTTCAGCTGAAGCTCCTTTTCTGAAAGAGGATGCAGTTAATTTGGAAACTTGTAGGATGCATGAAGGGATTTGATTTGGTATTCCCCTTCAAAGTGCATTACTTTGCCTATATGGCATGAAAGTATGTTTGCTGTCATGGAAGATAGCTTTTCTCAGTTTCTATTTTAAATTCCATTGTCTTGAGATTTCTTACTGAAAAGTTTTACATCAGTGAGCTCTTATCTGGATTAAAACACACTGAAAAACTCTTCAGATGGGAACCACAATGTTATTTGCATAGTTGTAGAACCCAGAAACATCTCTGCCGGTGAAACTAGTATATCAGTGTGATGCAGGTGAATGAATCTACATTCAGTAGCAGGCTAGATGTATTTTTCCCATGTTCATGATGTTGGAAGTACACTAAATTTGACAAGTTTTTTTCTGTTTCTTTTCCCCATCATCTTATGACTGATTTTTTTCTTTCTTTTTTTTTATTTTTTTTTTAAATTAAAACTTGTTTCTGAACTTCTTAAGTATCTGGAAAGGAGCTGACTGCATTATGTATCACACTTCTGATTCACACTAAAATTTCCTGGTCGCTTTGTGTGACTGTAAGCAAGTGCTTATCCTGCTGTCCATTTTAAAGCCATTATGTTTGTATGGTTGAACTGATCTATGTGTACCTATATCAGTATAGTGCTATATTAATTTACTATGGTTTTGATTGTGCAACTGAACAGAACTGCTTAATGAGGGCATGGTCTTTCACAGAAGAAATGTGCTTTTATTCTGCTGCTAATTTTCAACTAACTTTTAAATGAGATTATTTTGTGCTCTACTGCTTGCTATGGTCATAGTATCATAATTTTCTGATGTTTTCAGAATGCTATTTGCAAAAGAGAATAGCCAAGAAAGAAGCAGTGAAGTCAGTCGCACTTTCAGGAAACACATTCATCTGCTTCTACAATTAATTAGATTGCAAAGCCATTTGTGATTAATTATTAAGGCATTAATCATTTAGGGTGCTAAAATCATAATACAGTTTACTAGTGAAATACTGAACATATTTCAGTGACATCAGACATTCAGGCTTAAGATCACTGTACCACAATTACTGTGGGAGTAATGACAGAGAAAAATATATTCTTTCTACCCCACTGGAATTCAGGAATATTTGCCTGCAGTATATTGTCTCATGATTGCAAAGCCCAAATGAAGAGATAAAATCAGAGCTTTATCCTGTCAGATCTTGAAAAACTTCCAGACATGGATGACACCACCTCCAATGCTTGTACTCTAAGTATAACTCTTGTAGGTTCTGCAAGGCTGCTTTTGGGTCCCCCCATAAGCCTTCATTTCTGTAGGCTGAACAAGCCCACTTGCTTTGCCTCTTCTGTGATGTAGAAACTTTTTAGTGGTTGTGGTTTTGTTTTGGGACTCAAAATAAAAAGTGCTGTGGCTGAATTAAAGGAGGAAAAGCATATGAGGAGACAGCCTTTCTTCCTCTTAACAGCAGGCAGAACTCTGTGGAAATAGGGAAATGGAGCCTCAGGCTGAGTCACATAATGTAGTGGCCTGTCAGCCTGCAGTGATGATGTACTGGACTTCTTAGGCTAAACTTTGTGTTTAAGAGCTGGGATGTATAGCCAGGCCTAGATAGTTAGCAAAGCAAATAAGGTATGTAGTCATGTACACGTGGTAATGGGGCTATCTTATTATTTGATATGCATGCAAATACAGATACACTTCTGTTACACTATACTATATGTTTCATATAATTTTCAGTACTCTCTTTTTTTATAACTTAGGATACAAAAATAGCTTCACTTGAGCGCAATATAAGAGATCTCGAAGATGAAATACAGATGTTAAAGACTAATGGAGTTCTGAATACAGAGGACCGAGAAGAAGAAATCAAGCAAATAGAAGTTTACAAGAGTCACTCAAAGTTCATGAAAAATAAGGTAAGGTCTGTTAATAAAATAGCCCAGTGCTATTTAAGTTATGGAAACAAAAGTTTTAACTTGACCCTTTTCAACACAAGCAGCTCTCTGCACGTCTTTTGTTAAATCTCTACTATGCAATACTCAGCAGCTATGGAAGAGTGAAGCATTTGGGATAAATAAAAACCTTTTGACTTAGAAAGAGATAAGGTAAAAAGCTATTTCACCACTTCTGCAAAGGCTACTACAATCCTGAGTGTATACTATGTTCCCTTTTCCCTTTCTTGTGCATGGTGTTTTAATGTTGTCACTTTGAATTAGTTCATATTTTTGACGTGCATCATTTTGGCATAACTTCATTTGTGCATTTTTCTGGTTTTGATTGTAGTATTACAGTAAGAACTGCTGTTCCATAGATGATGCCAAATTACAATCTTCTCGTATTTTAAAGACTTGCAATTTGATGACTTTGTTCCTGAAAAGTACCTTTCATTTCAAATTATTGTACGTAGATAATTGTAAGATGACCACAAGCAGATAGTAAATGTGTAGTGATGTTAGCACATTTCCTGGTATGAAGCTCACAATACAGTATTGCTTCTTCAGAAGTAAAGCTTGATGTCCAAATTATTGTCCCAGCTGGTAGTCTTTGATTTCGGTGTGCTCAGCTGCATTCCAGGTAAAGATAAGCCCACCACCTAGTCTTTTTTATGAGTTCTAATATTTATTTTCTGGTATCTTTATACTTGCTTAAAAAATTGTAACAAATATATGTAATGTTACAATCTGTGCTGGTTTATTCCCAGCTCTCTACCTTGCATGCATTTGTTTATGAAGTGACAGAATACTGAATTAAAGTACTTGATAAAAAGAAAAAAAAATTTGAAGTTAAGGAGGCTGAGACTGATGGTCCCACTGTCATATACAGAAATCTAGGTTTTGGAAATAGGATTTTTTAAATATTATTTATAAGCTATCCTAAGGCAGGGCAAAACAAGTTACAGCAGCCTGAAGTGGAAACGCTGTGGAGGAAGGCAAGGCATCATCTCCTCTCTTGCAGTGATGTTAAAAATTTAACCATAGAGCCAGAATAAAATCTAGGCAAACCACTTTGCTAGTCATGATTATTATGAAATCTTAATTTATTTTAACAGTCTTTCCATCCCAGTTGTTTGTTTGGGTTCTTATTCTGTTTAAATATTTAGGGTTTTTTGTGTACATGGATACTGCGTATGTGAAATTCTAGTGAATGGAGATGGATTGATTCACTTTTTCTGGAATGTGTACTTGCAGCTCTGAAAATACTGCTTGAGGAGGAGCTGTACTAAGACCTCTCTAGAGGCCATGTAAGTGAAAGAAGTAGGAGTTAATTGGCTTAAAGCGTAATTCTTTGCCTACCATTGTTGATGCTAAAAATACTTACCAGTGTAGCTGTTTAAGTACAAAGTTTGCACTATCAGGTAGATAAATACTGTAGCAGTTCTTTCAGAGTTGGGCAAGCTTCGATTCAAAGTATGTAGCTTGTCTGTGGTTCTGAGAATAAAATGGTGTCAGCACCTTCTGGAGAGTCTGAGTTCTCTGATTCCTCTTTTCTTCTGTAAATTAGACCTTCATTATCTTCTTGACAAAATGATTTTGTTTTGTCTGAATTCCACAGTAAGTATAAGAGTAAGAAAATTCACTGCTGTGTAGTACTGGATACTGAAGTTTTTTCATCTTAGAAGAGCTCTTAGTGTCTCCTGCTTTGGAAACTGTAGTATCTTGTAAACTACCTCACAGGAAATGCTCGTGTCTTGGTACATTGGAGCACATTTTTATCTTCTCCTGGGGGTTTGTTCTACAGAAGAAATGGAAGTGTTAGTGCCAATGTGGAATTAATCCAGATTTAAAAAAAAATCCCAAAGAATATATTTATGAAAATGTCTGTTAGGAACTTTACCTACTTTCATTAGCTTTAAGAAGCATTATTATCAGGAAAATGATTTTGCCAACTTATCATTAATTTCAAAGCAATTCAGTTTTAATATTTTACAGCAAAACTAATGATTCTCAGCAAATCTGTTGATATAAAAATAATGTACAAAATCTAGTATTTTGTTAACAGTCTTCTGATGTTTTTTAGAGGGAAAAACTTCAGTATATTCCTGTGCCACAGAAAGGAGACGGATGAGAATAGTATTAAACATAGCTTGTTTTGTCGCAATCTTCTGATCTTTGATAAATGCCACGTTCTGATGAAACTTTGTCTGTTTTCTTTCACCAGTCATTTTCTTCCACTTAAAATTGAGATTTGCAGCAGAAGATATTATTTTTATCATTCATCTCAGAACCTTTCAAGGTGGAAAAGCATTTATGTATCTGTCAGCAAACAGATCTGATTATACCTGATTTGTTGAACCTGAGCTTGTTGAAAAATTTTGATAAACAGAAGTCTTGATTGATGGCAAAGAGCAGAACAAAACTCTTCCCACAGTTAACAATCTTAGGTGCTATAAAGCTCTTAATACGTCACATTTATTCTTGAAGTATAACTTCTTTTAAATCTGTTCTTGATATAAATAAATGGGAAAATGTTAAATGGAGGCTAATACCGAGTATTATTTATTGTACATGAGTGGCGGAGAATGTTGGGGAGTATTTCGTTTCTTAACTAACTCTTAGTAATACTCATTCCTTCCAAATATAGAAGCTTTAATTTTGACTTGCAGTGAAACAGAAGTTGTAGAAATGAGAAAGAAAACTTGATTAGATTTTTTTTGTTCTGGCACACTTGATGAAGACTGTTCTTGCTCTGTTTTTGAAGCGATAGAAGTTGCCATCACTCACACAATACAGAAGTTGTCCAAACAAGTCTTAAACTTTTCATGGCTAAGGTATATGAAGCTCCAAATGTCTTGATTAAGGATATGATGAAAACATATAGGATGATATGCATTTTAAAAAATTATTTCTGCTCTGCAAGACTTCTTTCTCTTACCCAGGGTTTGTCCATTGGCTGGCAGCCAGATACTTAAAGGAACAGTGATGCACTTTTTTTCAGGTGTGAGTTTACACTCTGGAATTTAATTAGTCCTTCAAGTATTAGAACTCTTGTGCTGTCCCCACAGGAATGAGTATGAAAATCTAGCGCTAGTTATACTAACTAATGAAGTTAGTACAACTTCAGCAAATTACTACTAAGAATTGATTAGACTGCAACAAGGCACTCTGTGACTAGTGACTGTACATAAGGACTTTTCACACTGTATGAATGAAGCATACAAGTTCTAGGTGATCCTGTAGGAAAAATATGCAGAAGAAAAACTACAGCGGGTTTTTTTGTGCATAGGCCTGGAAATGTGATAAACACTTGAAGAATAGACCTTGACCGATATAACCTGTAGCATCTAGAGATAGACTTGTAGAGCCCACTGTATGCAACCACTTCATTAGCATTGCTACTGTTTTTCCTTTACTGAAATCCTGCACTTGAATGAGCAGTTTTCGTTTGTCAAATAAGACCAGATCCTTTTGATGCTTAAATCAGCATAGTTTCATTTCATTCATTAGTAGAATAATTTACTTAAGGATTTATCTCGTTAATCTTAACATGCAATATTCAGGGGGAAAGCTCTGATCATTTTGTTTTCTTTGTTTCCCAGTTACTCTATGCAATGTCATGTAAGATTTTGGTGTGTAAAAATAGTGATGTAAGAAGAAGGAAAATGGTTCTCTGGAAATGCTAGTATCTGAAGAACTGAAATTATGGGAAGTGACAGAGTCATAAATTAAGAAGGCTGACAAAGCATTGGAAGCAAAGGAACTAGGGTTTCAGGAAAGGAGTTGAAGAGAGATCATCTTGGACATGGTGAAAAAGCAGTGACAGGCCAATTAGACATTGGAAATATGTGAGATAACTTGTAGGTTATCTTCATTGTAGGCTTTATAAAGTACAAAAACATTTTTGCCTTTGTTTTTGCACTGAGATCGGGAGATATCACTGAGTTGTGACTGTTGATCTTCCACACCACTTAAGATATAGCACAGTGAAAATGTTTGCACATCTGCTGGAGATGGAAATTTATTTAATGCCCTGTTTAATTTTTTTTACGTACTAGTAGATAATGCAGAACTTCTTAAATTTGTGTGCCTTCTTGTTATGCCTATGGTGGTTTTGATGCTTCTTTTTTTTTAATTAAAGTTTTAGTACATTTTCACCATTATACTTTAATAAACGCCAGCCAAAACCATAATTATTCAACACATTTTTTGGTGTGGGATCTATTTATTTATTTATTTACTTATTGATTGATTTTTGATTTTCATCTGGGAGCTCTAACACATTTTTAAACTTCCGATAATTTGTAGGTCTTGTAGCCAGAACTTTATACTAAACACATTCTGTTCCTAAACCACGAAGAATATACCTGCAATGAAATGAAGCTCTTTTTTATTATTATTATTTCTCAGGGTGTGGGTTGTGTCATGGAAAGAAGTGGGAAGAGTTTCTTGGCGAGATTACCCGTCTGCAGTGTTCGCATGGGTCTTGTATAAAGCATGTGGTGTAATTCAGATTTGGCTGCAGATCTATGTTTTGTCTTTATATCTTGTAGACAGATTTTCCCATTGTTCATTTTGTATACATTTCTGTCTCAGTTGCCATACTTGCTTACATGTTCTGGCGAGGCATGGAGGAAGGTGGTTTGCGTTCAAGAGAGAGTTCTCTCTAGCAGTTTCTCAACTGCACTCTTTATGTTTTCTTGACATCTGTTTTTTGTATGCTCCTTTTTTTATTTTGAGATTTTTGGACTATGAAGGTGATTGCTTTCAGTGCCAGTATAGATTCTTGATTTTATACAGTAGCTCAGGGGTGGCTAACCACATACCTTAACCAGCTAGACAAACATATTGAGATTTTGAAAGAGAAATAAGGAATAAATACAGTAAGACATTCATATGGACTGTAGTTGGAAGAAACAGGGATTTTTTAAATTTAGTTTTTAAGGATACACTTACAATGTAAAACAAAATAGAAATATTTTGATCAGCAGTAAATGCTTCCAGTGACTGTGCCATACAATACTGAACCTGTGAAATACTTCAATACACGGGTCTTTATGATGCAGTTGAGTGAGATCAGCTTGAGATCTTCTTTTTTTCCTGGGGATTTTTGAATCACTTTCCATCTAGCCTTTCTGGATTTCTTACATCCCAAGTAACTGTTGGGATGCAACTGATGAGAGAGGATGGAAAGAGCTCTTCCAGGACTTCTCTGGTTGTTGCAGAATTGAAACTTGAAATTTAAAGAAAAATATCTAGGTATGACAGTCATCAAGAAAACTTTGCAAATATAAAGGGAGTGTAGTTTCTCTGACTTACACAGGTGCACTGAGGCTTTTTATTTCAAACAGTCCTTGTGAGATTATGTATCTGAACTCATCTGGTGACCAGTGTTATTTCACAGGATTTATGAAGAATAGCTTCATGTCACCTAATTCACCATCCTTTAGCATCATTGTGTGTATTGTCCAGTGCTTTGTTCAGATTCATATATTCTAAATCCACCACATTTCTGCGTTCTGTGGCTACTTCTCTCATTTATCATTGTGACATGACATTTACTGATGAACCTTAAATTCACTTAAATTCAGAAGCTCTATCTTAGTGACTGGGTTTCTGCTGTTTCCCTTAGGATGTGCTTTTACAATCTTACAAACCTTTGATTCTGTGGAATATTTTATAACGTTTTCCCCAGTCTTCTCTTAAGTTAATCTCTTTGGCCTGGCTTTCCTAGTACCTGAGAATTCCATATGAACTGCCAGGGAGTAAAAAAGGAGGTGGTGATGGTGGGCAGCAACACATTTGCAAGAAGAATAAGGTTAAAATTCCACTTCTCTGTTTTCCTCTCCTTACCTAAGATGCCTGCTTTTCCTTATCAGGCTCCTAAAGAAACTTTGATTCATTCTAGCCAATGATAAGTCACAAGAATCGTGCTGTTGGAAGGAATAGGCTATTGGATGGAATCTAAACTTTTATGAACAGTTTTTTTCTTACACATTTTTGCTGTCCTGCCAGACTTGCCTCACGCAGGATAAATTCCTTTGAACTTTAGTGAGGTCCATGGTGAATTTATAGGCCAAATCATCATGTGTAATCTTTAAGAGTTTCCTTTTAACTTCTGCAACAGCAGGGTAATCATTCTTAAGGCAGGTATATTAAATTACAAGAAACTCAATTGAAGTTTTGAGTGTAAAAAGTCTTCCAGAATTCTTCCAGAATTTACAGGTGTCAGAGTTGTATCATGGTCGTTCACACCTTTCAAATTTCAAGTGCAACTATGAATTGGAAATTAAATTAATGATCTAACTTCTTTTTCCCCCCATTGCAGATTGACCAATTGAAACAAGAACTCTCAAAGAAAGAATCAGAACTTCTTGCCTTACAAACTAAGCTTGAAACCCTTAGCAATCAGAATTCAGATTGCAAGCAACACATTGAAGTGCTTAAAGAGTCACTTACTGCCAAAGAACAGAGAGCTGCCATACTTCAGACAGAGGTATTGTTTCTTCTAATCATAAAATGCAATAGAAATATTTAGTTAATAGCATGTGTCAAGGTGATGATGTGTTTGATGCAAGTCTGTGTAGAAAACAATTTGTTAAAGAATAGTGAAATAGTTTTAAACCCTAAAATGCCAAAATATTTGTTATATATGTTTTTTTGTAGTACACCAGCTCTCATTCTAGAATTTTTTTAGAAGCACCTATGATTGCATTTTAAGAAAAAATGCCTAATTCTCATTGCCTTCACTCGGGAAGCTGGGCTTTAGTGTCTTGATTGCTGTGGTTTCATTCCTTGTTTCTTCATCTGTTAGTTGTCTGAGTTTTTCTTTTGATGGCTTTGGCTTGATGCTTCTTTCATACTGTGTATTTCTAGTCTGAAGAGTGAAACTACGGATGTATTTTGAAGGGCTCTATTGACAGGTGTATGACATTAATCTGTGTGCTGGTTTGGTTTTTGCTTTTTTTTTTTTTTTTAAAACAGACCAATGCATTGGTCATGTATCTATCTGCAAGGTCAGATCATAAAAATATGGGTGATAGAATACCATTGAGATGGTCGTCACATTTGATGGAATGCTTGAAATGTTGTCCGGTGTTAAAAATGTTGTCTATTTTTTTCCTTTTCTGGGCTGTTAGAAAACTTCCTGGGCTGGAGCACACAATCCTGATTAGACTGATTCCTATTATAACTTCTTAACTTTATTTGTAATGTGCGTACCCCTTTCAAGAAACAAAAATACCTGTGAAAGTCATGCGGTGCAAATAGTTTCTGTTAAGAAAGAACAGAAGAGTTTCTATTCAGAAAGAGAAGTATATTCTATAAGGTATACAGGAATCTTCCAGGATGTTTCAAATTTCTGGCTAGCAAAGCTCTAGGAGGAAAAAAAAAACCCAGCTTAGTTATCATTCTTATGGAAGCAGGAAATAAATATTTCTGAGATTCTGATTATCCATCTATGCTGTATGTCTTATCCTCTGCACATTACGAAGATACAGATGAAATATCAGAATTTCCAGTTTGTGTTTAATGGGCCAGCCAGCATGTGTATATAATAGAAGATAATCATAATAGAACAAGGATAAAAACTCTAGCAATTTTGGCAGATCTCAATCTAGCATCTGAATAGTGAAGATTACATATTTTAAATCTTCAACTGTGCAGATCTGTTTTGTGAGGTTTGTATTAACTGGCATGCTGCTGAGGATAGTGATGAATTCCACTGGCTCTCCATTAATTCTATTTCCTAATGCTTTATCAGACCAGTATGTATTTAAGGCATTACAGTCTTATGGCTGGCAAATGGGCCGTGGTAAACTTAACAACTGAAACAAGAGTGCTCTTGATGAAGGGCTGCTGGGATTGTGTAGTCCTAGCGGAGGATCAGTTGGTTTCAGACAGGTATTCAATTCCTCTTTCCAGTTTCTACATAAGGCAGTTCAGCCTGGACCTTTTACATGAAGCAATTAAGTTAAAATTAGCTGTAATTGCCTGTTGGTGTGTAGGTGACAATTGGTTGTGTTGTGGCTGCTTATTGTTAGTCTCTCAGGGAAACCAAATGAAAAATTAATGTCAAATTGATCAGAGATGTAGTTGGATAGAAGGAATGTGCTATAATAGCAGAGAATGAATCCCTTTTCTTTGGCCTAATATAATGTTATTTGTGATATAAGTGTTTGTGGTATTTTGCACATAGATGGGTTATGTGCAGACTTAAAAATGAAGCAAAACAAGTCAAATGTCCTCACAGTATATCTTGGTTCTAGATCGTTAAAGCTGTCTCTGCATGGACTTGCTAAATCAGTTGAGCCTGAATTTGTTTGTGTCTGAATCTTAAGAAATTATGGGGTTTATTTCATATGCATTATTGTCAGCCTTAGGTAATTACATTACCTCTGATGAAGCTTTGAAACACTGCAAACTATTTTATATTCTCCATAGAAAACTAGATGTTTTCCATTTTATGCTTTCAGTAGGCAATGATTTTATTGGACAACAGGGATGGAGTTTTTTGTGGTTTTTTTTTTGTTTGTTTGTTTGTTTTTTTAAATTTAATTTCTATTTCTTTTCTCTTTTGAAGCTATCTTTGTAAAAGGAATTAGGAAAGTTGGTGAATTATGTCCACTTGTGATAGGAAGTAATTTTAGTTAAATTTGCTGTAGTTGTCTGTTCATGTACAGAAGGCTTTTGGCAGAAGAGTCACTTCATTTTGGGATATGGTACATCTCAAGATGCATTAGAAGCAACATAAAGAAAACTTCCAGTTTAAGTAGTATACATGTATTGATGCAGCCACTACTTTAAATAATTTTGATCTAACAGTAGATTTAAAATGGGAAATAACTTCACTTGCCTCAAAATTTCTTTCATTTACTTTTGAAAAGACAGCATTACAGGGTGTGCTCTTATATGCACCACTTACCTATGAGGCAGAGACTTTAACAACCTCTGTTAAACTTTAAATTATGTCAGCACATTACCTGATCTTTAAATACTTTAATAGCATGCATACTTTGGGCAATATTAAATGCATCTTATTTTTCATATGTTGAAGATGCACTGAATATTTTTTTACTTTCCTGTACTTTATGATGGAGATGTAGCACATCTCAAATCTGCTTAAAAAGATCTTTTATGTTATGTAGTAGAAATAAAGCACACTGTGTACCCATTAGTTTCTCAAACCAGGAGTTATGAGTTAAAACCAGTACTTTTGTTTGTTATTTTAAAGCCTCAAGGTTGCTGTAGGCATATCACAGGCTATACAACTTCCCATCTAGAAGATTACATATTTGGGGTTAGAAATGAAGATCTGGGGTTATATTACAGTGAGCCTCTCAAAAGATGTGTTTAGTCTGAACATATTTTTCATGTCTTTTGAATAGACTTTCAATCAGAGCTCCTTAAAACTACTGACATATCCAGTCTTGTTTCCTGGAATAAAGTCTTATGGGAGCTTTCAGCTAGCCATAAGAAATGCACTGTTATAACCAAACACAGGATTTGTCATAAATTGCTGTGTAATTGTGTGAGGATGTTACTTGCTTTCTCTGATAATCATGAGAACAAGTGACAGATCTCTGCATCCAAGCTATTTCACAGATTAGAAAATGAGATTATTCAAGGCATGTTCTAATGATATTCTACCGTTACATGTTTTTAAGACCCCCAGGGTTCCAGCACATTCCTTACCACCCCGCTGTGTGGTACGGAGTTTTTCTGGTTAAAAATGATTGCCAGGATATCTCTTCTCCACAAACTATTATGTCACAACTTCCAAGCTGGATGTGCAATTTATTGGAGAGAGAGTCTGTTAAACTGTGGGCATTCTGAAGAAATGTGCTGGAGCTGTGAGGAGCACAGGCTGGACAGCGGCTGAACTCTTAGATTGCAACGTCTACTCCTGTAGGCCAAAGTCCTTGTTTCTTACCGATATTTAGACAAAACCAAAAAAATGATGTCCTTAACATCATAACAACAAAACACCTCACTGAAAAGTAATTACTAAAGCTATAGACCATTTGTTGGATGCCATAAGTTTGAGGGGTTTTAGAGCTGATCTTGATCCTGGCGTTAGTCACTTAGATGGTTGAAAACAGGCTGTTTGTGGCACTTGCACTTACTCAGGATGGAAATGCCTCCTTTTTTTTTTCTCTCGTTTCTTTGCTTGCTTATTTGCCCTTCATATATTTTGATTTACCAGGTGGCCAATATGTGCCAATAAGAATTAAGTATTTTGTTTGTTTCATTGTATGCTTCACTGTACATTTCAGTTAACAAATTCATGCCTTTAGGCCATATTCTCCTGTTACAGCCTGTAAAACTACATGTGATGCAGCAAGACAGGAAAATTAGAGTAAAGTTTCGCTGAACTCTGTTTGTATCTACTCTTAGTTTTATGGGAATGCTTTTTGTAATCACTTTGCAAATATCAACTTCATATAACAACGTCTGTCTTCAGTACTCGGAAATATCCTGCCTTTCAAAAGGACTTTTTACATTTCCACTTAATCTTTAGTTTGGAGGAGTAGAGGGAATGTTTGTCTCATATGAATGTTTGCTGAAAATGTTACATTTGGTTATGTGTGAGAGACTAAATATCAGCAGAGGCCATTGATGTTTTGTTCATGGTATTCAGCTGTGTTAAACAACAAATCAATAGCTCCTCTTAATGAAGCTCATACATTTCCTGCAGAAAATACAGTCCATCCAACAAGATACCCATGATAGGATAGAGGGGCTTTCTATGCACTAAACCCAGGATCCTTCTTACTGAAGACCTGAAAATGAGCAAGTGTCATTTACATGGTGATCAAGCAAGTGGCCTGCCAATATAGGTGGATGAGGATATTTGCCAGCTGGGCCCTCTATGAGACCTGGGGTTTAAGTTGATTAAGCTAAGGCCAGACTGTGCTGTGGTAGCAATCCAGCAATGATTCTAGACATAGCAGGTTTCATTCTCTGCAACTGGGAATTAGGAAGAGGTTTTGTTTGCTTAGAGCAACTGTATCTTCTATCTCCAGGCCTCAGGTCTTGTCTAAAGGGAGGGCAGTGGCTTCCCGCAGCAGATGGGAAAGCAGCTGCAGGGAAATGAAGGGCAAATGGCAGCCCTCCAGCAGGTGGAAATCATTATGGAAGGAATTTTGTGCTGTACAAGCTATTGTTGGTCGTTCCCAGATGAGTCAAGTTAATAACATTTTGGCCTGCATTAAGCCCCACTCGTTTCTTCCTGCATGTCCACATTGTGTATTTATAGAATAGATAGTTTTGTTAATTATCACTGTAGAATTTTATGCTGTCCTAAAACATGCTTATAACCTGCCTTGAAGGGCTTCTTTCTGGAGGTGAAAGTAAACATCAAAGGCCAGTTCTAATCCCAAACTGAGCAAGGTACTTGTAGTTGCCTGAATAGGACTACTTGGTAGTCACTTTGTTGTATTTAAATCAGCTTAGTAAATCCTGCAATAAAAGGAATCCAAAAAAGATCCTCAGTAG